TCAGCGGTTCTCCATTGGGAGTGTCACTGCCCTCAGGGGACACCGAGCGATGCCCGGGGACATCTGTGCTCGTCAGGGTGCTCCTGGCATCACAAGGGCGGGGGCCAGGGGTGCTGCCACACCCCGCAGTGCCCGGGACAGCCCCCCACAGAAAGCGACCCGGCCCTACGCACAGAGAGCTGGCTCAAACTCCCGTCCCCAAGTGGGGCGCGCTGTGTGGAGAAGGCCCCAGGAAGCAGCTGGGAGCCCGGGACAGGGACAGGCCCTGACACACAGCCATGTGCCTGCTGTCCCGTGGCTGACACTCTCCTGGGCCAAGTCGTCCCCTGACCCGAGGAACCTGGCCAGGCCAAGCCTGCCTGCAGCCACCCTTCCTTGGTCCCTGCAGGGCCCTGGGGTGCCAGGGACCCCACTCTGTGGAGGGGTGCCCCTGCCTTAGTGTTGCGGGACCCCTCCTTGGAACCTAGCCCCTCTGCAGCTCCCTCAGTTACAGAGCCAGTCCGAAGCCCCACCCCAGCCCACCACACGCAGATGTACAGGCGGGTGACCTCCCACACAGAGTACCGCCCCCCGCACCCCTGGGCCCGGGACTCAGCCCACCAGCACTTTGTCCTGGGCCCTGCCCCAAATGTCCTGACCACCACGGAGGGAGGGAGAGAGACTGAAATCTGCAGCTCCGTCCTAGGGGAACAGAGGTCCCAGGGGGGCGGGGGACGGCTGAGGTTCCTGTCCCTCCCCCTTTACTTTTGCTCTATTCCAGGACCACCCCACCCCCACCTGCTGCACTTGCCACTGGCTCATGCCCGCCCACCCGTCACAGCGCTCAGCCAGCCCTCTTAACCAGCAGCTACTCTGCTGGCACCTTGTCCCGCATGTCCCGGCAGGACCAGAGCGGTCACCTCTGAAGGCTGCCCCACCTCGGGCACCCTCCTTCCCGCCGCCAGGCCCCTGCGGGGGTGTCCTTGGGGACAACTGGGGGTTCTGCCGGTGCCTGGGGGAGGAGCAGGCTGTTGGGGACAGATAAGGTGGCTGATGGCCTCAGACAGCCACATGCCCTCCACCGCCAGAGCTGCCCAGCACGCACTCTGGCAGGCACCTGGGGACACCTGAGCATGGCCTCATCGCCTCCCCGTGCCCTTGAGGCTTCTCCGGAATTCAACAAGGTCATCAAACAACTGAGCCCCGGGACGGAAGGGGGAAGCAGAGGGGCAGGCAGCTCCCAGAACAGAGGTGTCTTGGGGTTCAGTCGATGCAAACAGGGCTCCTTCCGGATAGACCTGTAGGTCCCCCCATAAAGGGACTTTCAAAATATAAAACCCCAGAGGGCAGCAAGGGGACCCCAGGGAGCCTGGGGACAGGGGTGGGGGCAGAGTAGTGAGGGCTTCCCAACCTCAGCCCCCACCGCTCACTCCCCTGGGGGAGCCGGCACCATCGCCGCAAGACACACATGCGCTCCGAGGTCGCCAGGCCTGGGGCAGGGCTCCGGGCTGTCCCCTCTGAATGGAGGAGCGCGTCAGTGAGGGGGAGGCCCGGCCGCCGCCCTCTTCCCCGCTGGGACAGCCCCCCGAAGCGCCTGGGACAGCGAGGCTGTGCTTCAGACGTCCTTTGCAGGGGGCGTGTCTTTTCACTGTTCTGTGTCTCACTTCGCAGCGGCCGAGCAGGGCCGGCGGAGGGTGGGGCGGCGGCTTCGGTACTTACTTTTTCTCTCACAACAGGGGGGCTAAAGTTCTCGGGGGCTGAAGGAGCCGCTGGGGGCCGGCGAGCCTGCCTTTATAGGGGCCGCTGCCTCGGGGCGGGGCCGGGCGGACGCACTGTGGTTATTAATAGCGGCCTCAGCTCCTTGCCCAAGTATGGTCAGGAGCACGGTGGCTGTGGGCTTGGCTGCCACCTGCTCTCAGCCCTGGGGCTCGGGGAAGATGGCACGGGGACTGCCCTGTGACCTACGAGAGACGGTAGTGCTCCTCTAGACCCAGAGTGGCATGGTGACTCCTGCACCCCAGCCCCCCAAATCTAACAAGACTCACACTTGGGGGGTGTGAGTCCAGTACGTGCTGGACCTTGACGGCAGCAGACGGCCCATCGTCTCCAAGGAAAGGTAAGGGTGCACAGGCAGGTGGCATGTGTGTGCCAAGGGCAGGAGCCCAGTCAGGCTGCATTCGAACCCAGGACCGGCTGACTCACCTCGCAGCTGGCGTGTGACTGAACCCAAGCTGTGGGGTAAGGCCTAAAATTAGGCTCCATCCTACGTGCCAATAAAAGCACACAGCCCCCAGGGGCCTCCCCACTGCCCCTCCCGAGGACGAGGTCTGCTGGCCCAACCCCACCTGACCAAGGGACGGGCACAGTGGCTGCTGACCCTGAGTGGCGGGTCTCACCTCCCGGCCAGGCCGGAATCACGCTCACAAGTAAGCGTTGTGATGGCTGTGCCTGCCCCCACCCCCACCCCGCGTCTGTCTGCCGCCAGCGTCTGCTGGTGTCCGCTTGAACTTGACCTCCTCGGGGACACCAGCTTCACTTGCTGAGCCTCGTCCGGCTGAGTCTTGATTCGATTAGCCGTACCATCGATGTGTACCAGCACTGGACGGTGATCGGAGCCCTCTACGAGCTCCCACTTAAGCCTCGTGGTGTCTTGGACAGGGAAAGGAGGGACCACCACCATTTCGCAGTTGGGAGTACGGAGGCCGGGAGAAGGAAATGTGCCGAAGTCACTCTGCACCCAGGGGCCGGGGCAGCAGCGGAAGCCGAGTCTCCACGGGAGCTCAGCTTTGAGAGGAACACGGGGCTTAACCCCCTCTCCTCTTAGGAGCTTCACGCACGCTGCAGCCGAGTCCCGAGCCAGCCTCCGGTGGGCAGGTCCAAACTGACGCCCAGCAGCTGAAGGGACGCAGCGCATGGCTCCATGGTCCCTGCCTCCAACCCGTCGTAAGAGGCGGGCAGGCATTCCCACTTCCCACACGGCCAAACTCGGCGGTGGGAGCCGTCACGCAGCAGACCTGCTGAGCGTCCACGCCCCGCCAGGGCAGGAGGAAGACGGTGGCTCAGCACCAACAGGCGCCCCCCGTCACACCCCGGGAAAGAAAGGAACGAAGCCACGGCAAACAGACAAGCTGCTAAACGCGGGGACGCGAGCAGAAGTCGGGCCGTTCCGTAAACCGGCAGGTGCTTGCGGTGCGCCTGTGTGTGTGTGCGTCAGTCAGCCACGGCTGTGCAACAAGCCGCCACTCTCTCGGTGGCTAAAAACGCGGTGCGTGCTGTCTGTTTCTACACACCGGGCACGTGTGCTTGGCTTCCCTGGGTCTCGTGCCCGGTCTCTCAGGGGGCTGCAATCCAGCTGGCAGCCGGGGCTGGGTTTTATCTGGAGGTTTGACGGGGGGAAGGGGTCTGCTTCTAAGACCATCAGGCCGTCGGTGGGCATCATCCCTTGGTGGCTGTTCCTTGCCATGTGGGCCTTTCCAGCGTGGTGGCTGGATTCATCAAAGCCAGCAAGGGCAGAGCGCGTGAGAGCAAGACAGGTCACCATCGATGTACCCTCCATCACCTCTGCCGTATTCTGTTGGTTAGAACCCACCACTAGGCCAGACGACTGTTACGAGTGAACAGCAGGACACGAGGGTCCTTGGGGGCCATCTCAGAGATGCCCACCTGCCAGGATGAAACAGCGTCCTAGCCCAGCAGGTTCTGCAAAGGGGCAGCACTGTTTGCTAAGTACTTGTGTGGGCCAGAAACCCTGGTAAGGTGCTTTATGACCCCACGGTGGTTCCCTGTGCCCTCACCTGACAGACTGAGCAAACTGAGGCCGCACTGGGCTGAGCTGTGGAAGGCGTCCCAGGCCAGGAGGCTGGGCAGAAGTGCACCTCAGAGCAAAGCCGCCTGCCCGTCAGCCCCTGAAAGACGCTGCGGGTTTAGCCTGCAGCAAGGCGGACCCCGCACCCCAAAAAGGGCAGGAGGGAGCCCAAGTGAATTTCAGCTTCTACGCAGCCTTAAATCTGAAAGGCAAGATGGCTAAGGACCCTCACCCGTCCCTCTCGAGGCGGACATGGTCTCAGCCTTCCACCGACGTCTCCTGACGCCCGGCACGCTGTCTTGGGAAACTGGCTGGATGAATGTCACTTTTCACCCGCCTTGGGGTCTGGAGACTCCGGGCACTGTACAAAGTTCCTCCTTTCCCATGGGGGCAGGTGGCACCAGCAGACCGTGGCCCACTGAACTCACGGAATCACACGCCCCTTCCCTTTGCCCCCACAGGCAACACACGGCCTGGGCACCTGCTGCCCGGGGCCCCGTCTCTGAGCCCTAAGGGACCTAACGGCCAGACTGGGGCCTGGCCTGGATGAGCCAGCTGTAAGGGACAGTCACGGGCCGACACGGGAAACCTGAGTAGGTCTGAACATTCGATGAGCTAAAATTTATTAGAATTTTAAAAGTGGAAGTAGTTGACCAAAACGAGAGATTAAAAAAAGAAAAAAAAGAAAAAAAGATGAATTTTATAGTGAAAACTAGCTCACTTTTTAAAAAAAGAAAAAAACAAAGCGAAACACGCCACTCGGTGCACAGAATGGGGCGACGATGACCAAGGGCGCCAACGGCTCAGAACCTCGGCTCCTGGGGGGGCTGGATCCCCTCCACGGGGCCACATTCGACCCAGAGGCTGCGCTGAGCAGCAGTGGGAGCAACGATCTGAGCAGACGGCGGGGGCTGTGCGCTGCGGCCCACAGCGAGGCAGGCGAGGCCCCGTGCGACCCAGTCTCGGGGGGCAAAGGGACACACACCGCCCTGAACCCAGGGCGGCTGCCTGGGAGCTTCCATCACAACAGAAGAACCAGAGCCCCACTGAGCCCCGGGGCTGGGGCAGCCCAATGCCACCCCTCAGGGCTGCCCTCTTCCTCCTGGAGCGCGGGGACAGGCAGCAGGTGCAGGAAAGGAGACGCAGAGCCCTGAGAAGCCATGGCGCTGGGTGACCCAGGGCGGGCTGCCCGCTGGGCCCAAGCACAGACGACGGCTGGGGGTCAAAACGGGGGCTTTATTTCCTTCCAACTCACAGTGGGCGCGTGCTTGTAGAGGCGTACATACGTGACACACCAGAGCTCACAGAGGGGAACACAGGGGGTCCCACCCCAGACCCCAAGGACAGGGCTGCACACAGCAGATCCCTCTGCCAGACCCCAAAGCCAGTCCCCAGGCCCTGCCTTGGCCCCAGCAGCGTCCAGGTGACCTGAGCCCCAGCCAGCAGTCTCACCAGGAACACCAGTCCCAGCCCGGCCTGTAGGATTCCCCGCTGCATTCAGCCAGGCTGGGGGATGGGGGGATGGGGGGGACATGTCTGCACAGCTGTCCCTCACTTAACCCAACGCACAGCAGAAAATGTGGCCCAGAGTGGCCGCTGGCTAGAGACCTAGGTGTCCTTAAGGCCTGGACCTTAGGGCATGCAGGACCCTGCTTGAGGGTGGCACCTAGTGGCCCATGGCAGCACTGCCTGCTGCGGCCCCTTCCTCAGCCCCTGCCGAGGTCAGGGCCAGATGCTCAGGAACCAGCAGCAGGGTCGCAGAGTCCATCCAGTGTCTCCTGGCACAGGGCAGGACGGAGCCCTGAGAAGGACAACACCGGCCCACAGGCCTTTCGGGCCTGCTCCATGTGGTCCCCCCGAGGGTGCTAGCCTGGAGCCCCAGTGGTTCAGAACACAGCACTGGGGAAGGGTGCAAGGCCGAGGGTGGTGGCACAGGGCGAGAGACCAAGGCAGGGGTGGGACCGCTGGTGGCTTTGGCGCATGGGGGGGCTGTGTGTCAGCGTTAAGAAGGGGCGGGGATGGCCCCACAGCCTGCCCCACGGGGGAGCGGGCTGCAGCATGGACGACGCTGCTTTACGCCTGTCCCCAGCCCCCAGGAACCCGCCTCCTTCACTGCGTCTGGGTGGCGATGTGCTCCCCACAACACCACCTCCAGACGGACCACTCCTCAGGGGCTGGGGGATAAGGAGAACCGGGCTCGGAGGACCCTCCACCACTGGCCCTGAAAGGGCCACCTCCCCGCTCTAGAGAAGGGGGCGGGTGTCCGGCAGAGGCCCGGCCAATCCGGAGCTCTGGGGCGTGCGTGCGTCCCCACTATCCCTCCCCAAGGCCGCATGCCTGGGCCAGCATGGAGGGTCTGAAGGTGCTGGCCAGGCTGGTCTGTGTGCGGACGGACCTGCGGCCCCCGGACCTAGGACCCAGCCTGCTACCCCGTGACCCGGCCAGGTGGGAGGCACCTGTGTCTGCCGTGGCCAGCTCTGTCCTGAAGGTACCGACCCCCCACGGGAGTTCAGAGTATGGAGGTGACGCCGCCCCCTGCAGCCCTCCTGCCACTCGCTGGCGTTGCAGGAGAGGAGTCAGACAGGGAGAGGCATGCTGTCCAGGAACTGAGGCCTCGTCTCCCTGGCAGAGCCGGCCCAGCCCCCTGCCCCACCCCCGCTGTGAGTTCCCGGCCAGCGCAGCCTCTTCCGCCTCAGCCCCAGCCTGGGGATTCTCTGGTGCTGAACAAGGGTGACGAAGGGGCCTGACCACAGGGCTACTGGGGGGGCACCCACCACCCGGAACCCCCTGGGCCCACCCGCCCCGCGTGGCCTAGCGGAGGCCACACTCCCCGCCCTGCAGCTTCTCCTGCTCCATGGCGCGCACCAGGTCCTGCACAAACCGCATCTCGGAGGCCACCTGCTTCGCCAGGGCCTCGTAGCGGTTCTCCAGGCGGCTGAAGCGGCGCTTGAGCCCACTGGCCCCCAGCAGGGCACCCTTGGCCTCCTCCTGCGCCTGCCGCTGGAGCGCCTCGGTCTTGTGCAGCTCCTGCCGCAGCCGCCGCAGGTCCTGGCCGATGCTCTCGTTCTCCTCCCTGTACCAGGCCTCCTTCTCCTCGTAGATGGCCGTCAGCGCCTCGATGTCCTCGTGGAAGAGCCGCCGGCTGTGCTCCAGCCCACGCAGGCCCTCCTCGGCCGCGGCCACCTCCTCCAGCACCTTGGAGAAGCGCTCGAAGTTGATGTAGGTGTTGTTGGGGGGCATGCTCGAGTGCGACTTGATGGTGTACTCCTTGAGGCGTGCCGTCTTCAGGCGCCTCCGCTCCGGCTTCCGGCCGCTGTCCTCCCGCCGCACGTTCCGCCGCCGGATTGCCTGCAGCGAGGGGGCCGCACGGGCTGGGGCTAGCGGCGGGGCCACTGAGGGCCACGGCCGGCCCCTGCCTGCTTCTGGAAGTCGAGGTTTATCGGCACAGAGGCAGTGCCTAGTACCGGGGCGGGCTACGGTCCTGCCGGGAACCGCAGAGGCGAGAGCCTTGCCGCTCCAGCCCGTCACGGGAGGCTGCGGGCTCTGGCCCGGCGGGGATGCCTTTCTGGGACGTTTCGGGGGTCGGGGGAGCCCTGCTGCACGTACAGAGGGACCACAGACTGCAGCTCGATGTCTCGGTGAGACGGCTCTGACACCACGGCAGGAAGCACCCCATGCCCCCCACTGCCCAGGCCCACTGCTCTGGGCTTGTCATGCCTGCCAGCCCTCAGTGGGAGCAGCCCCCACCTCACCTTGATCCAGGAATGCTCCAGGCTCTGGGCTATGGTCATTCTCCTCCTGGAAGAGCACCCCCAGCCCCGGTTAGTCGCACGCGTGCCACCTGCACCGTCCTCCCCCACTGGGCCGAGAGCAGGGAGGTTCTTCAGGCTCTGCCTGTTGCAGCTCTGCTCTCAGCAGCCCACCAAGGGTTGACACAGACACCTGCCCCTGGGGACTTTTCGGCCTGGAAGCATGACCCTGAAACGACCTTGAAACTACATGCGCAATCCACAGCAGCCACTCTGCTGGGCCAAGCACAAGGAGCCCGTTGGGCCTGTGGGGGCCAGGCTCTGGGGTCTCCATGTTTCCCAAGGGGTTCTGTTAACCGGGCCGAGACCCAATGCTGGAGTTAAACAACTCGGCGCCCAGGGAGGGGCCCAATGGGCAACAAGGGGTGGCATTCACCAGGGGAGGGCTGCAGCCACAGGGGGCACTTCCTGTGGATGAAGACTCTGTGCTGCCAGAGTTTTTAGATATTTTTCTAGGGAAAAATTTTTTTAAAAAGTAATCTGGAATTTTATGTAAAACCCCAATTTTAAAATTTGGCAGTAAATTAAAAGCTTTTTAAGACCCAGCGTGGCCAGCTTATCTCCTGTCCAGAGCAAACCCAGTCACAGGGAGGTGGTGGCTTGGAGGGACATGCTCTCAGCCATGCCGCCCACTTGGGGCACCCACTCGGCCTTCCCTGCGGGCAGCCCCAACCCCTTGCCCGGCTCGCTCTTACTTGGGGTCCTTGACGAGCAGCCGACGGATGAAGTCCTTGGCCAGCTCGCTGGTGTTGCCGAAGTACTCCTCGTCGAAGTCGTAGTTCACGGCCGAGATGTTGGTCAGGGTCTCCTGCTTGGTCTCACCCAGAAAGGGCGATGCACCGCTCAAACTGAAAGACACACGGGCACGGCTCGGTGGGGCAGACGGGAGGAAGGCGGACGCTGGGCCCCGAACACGCCACGCACACCTGCCCCTGGAACCACCCCTGCCACCACTGGCTGCCAACCAGAAGGCGATACGAAGTCATCGCCCAGTCAGCCGGACGCAAAAAACGTGGGCAAGACTCGCCATGGAAACCCACGACATCCATATAAACGCAGTCTCAAGGCATCGCCCCAGCATGGTTAGCGATTCCAGCATGGTTAGCGAGAAAACCGGCCGCCATGCTGGGGCATCCTGGCTGATGCCACCCAGCGCTCGGTCAAGGCACGCGTCACCGGCGCCGACTCGTGGAGGGGGGCCACGCCACCGGCCATGGGGTCCTGGGCACCTGACGCTGACTTAAGGTAAGAAATCATGTCCGGTCCTTGGGCACATGGCTCCCAAAACCCTTGGGATGTCCTCAACGGAACAGCTAAGAAGGTGGGCATTTCGCTGTAACGTTCAGCCCTTGTTCTGAGTTCCTTAAATGGCTCAAAAAAGCACTGTTACTCGTAACGAGGCCCTGCCAACCTCACGAAGTTTGCACTAATGAGGTGACTTTTGGAAAGCCTGGGGAACCACTGGTGGCACTGGAAGGTTGGGGGGTCGAGGGGCCAGATTGAGCTAATCACAGACAAAAGATTTCATCAATCACGCCTACGCGATGGAACCTCCATAAACATCCTCAAGTAGGGGGTTCAAAAAGCTTCCACGTACTGGGAGAAGGCTGCACCCCAAGCTCCGGCATTAGGTGCTTCCCAGGCCTCACCCAAGCGCCCTTCATCTGCCGTCTCCTTCGTAACGAACTGCTGCACATCGGTGTTCCCTGAGCTCCGGGAGCCGCTCTGGCAAATTAATCAAACCCAAGGTGGAGGTCATGGGGACCTCCGAGTTATAGCGGGTGGGTCGGAAGTGCACATGACGACTTGGACTTGCGAATGACATCTGCACGGGGCAGTCTTGTGGGACTGAGCCCTTCGCCTGTGGGATCTGGCACTGTCTCCAGGCAGGCAGCACCAGAACTGAGTTCCAGAGCAGGACGCCCGGCAGGTGTCGCAGAGTGCTGCGTGTGGGGGACCGCCCGCACGCTAGGGAGCCGGCAGCGTCAGAGGCGGCGAGTAGAGTGTCACAGAGAAGAAACAGTGTCGGCCCGCCTGATTGCAAGTGAGCCTGCCAGGCCTGCACCGAGGGACACTCTACACGTCCCTTACCAGTGTTCTTCAGCGGGGACACGAGGGGGAACAGAGGAACCGTCCCGGAACGGAGGAGACTCAATGAGTGGCCCTGGCTGGGGTCCTGGACTGGGGAGGATGGAACGGAACACCGATGGCGTCCGGATGACTGGGGCACCTTGCTTGCTAGTGCCGCGCCAAGCTAAGTTCCCGGTGCGGACAGATGCCGTCTGTGTGAGACGTTCAGGTGAAGGGACGCAGGGGCCAGGGGCGCAGAGCTCTGCGCTGTCCCGGTCCCTCTCCTGAGCTCCCAAACTCATCTCCACGTTTAAAAAAGTCAGTTGAAAAGACAAAAAAAATCTCCCAAAACCTCAGGTCTCTGATCACTACACCCATTTGAAAGAGAAAGGGAGTGAAGAATTACTGGGGTACCCCTGGCCCAGGAACATATGAACAGCCCAAATGCGCCACCTGAGGAAACGACCTCAAGAAAGGGAGTGAAAAATTACTGGGGTACCCCTGGCCCAGGAACAGCCCAAATGCGCCACCTGAGGAAACGACCTCAGGTCAAATCGCCTTTATGCACAGAGCGAGGGCTCCAGTCACCAGCCAATGGACAAAGTAGGGGACACACACTGTCCCGGCATAGGACCCCGGACGTTACCTCCCAGGACAGCGTCTGCCTTCTGAACTCTCCAGAAGACCCGGAGACAGGAACCACACCTTTCTCTCCCACCTACCCTCATTCGCTCATCCATCCATCCACCCAGAGTCCTCTGAGCACTCGACAGGTCAGAGCATTGCGGGGCCCACGCCTGAGGTCACGGTCCCCGCATGGAAGCCTCCCTGACCCTCCTCCTGACCCGGCAGGGTGCCAGGAGGGGTGGCAGGACGCCAACCAGGGACTCACAGGATGTAGGTGATGACGCCAATGCTCCTGGAGGGCGACACGGGAAGAAAAGGGTTAGTTTAGCTCGGCCGCAGGAGGCGCAGCACGCCGCCCCTCCTCCCCCGTTTCTAAAGGGCTCACATGAGAAAGCCACAAGCACAAGGCAGTCGGCCCCCAAGACTTCAGAGGCGATGCCCCTATGTCCTGCCCTGGACTCTAGGGACTGGGGATTTGAATACTACTGGTCACACCTCCCTGTCAAGGCTCAGAGGAACTAGAGATGGGGGTGGGGCGGACAGCACGATGGCCCCCCAGACCCTACACATGTGGAACTCTCTGTGGGGCCTGCTGGAGCCCGAAGGCGGGGCTGGCAAACTCTAAATGGTCAGCACATGTTTTAGGCTTTCTGGTCTGTGGCACATTCGTCTGTTTTGATTTCACACCTTTTTAAAAAACAAGAACAGCACCCTCGGCTCCTGGGCCTGCTCTGGCCTGGGGGCTACACTCTGCTGCCCCCCATTCTAAGGCGATGGTCTGTCCTGCCCACGCCCCATGGCGCCAAGACCACCCCATGGGCTGTGCCCCAGCCTGCAGCTTCTGGGAACAAGCAGGGGACGTTCCCGGAGGGGCGGTCCTGGGGTGTGTGCTGGGCTCGGCGCTGGGCAGCCCTGGGCCCCCACAGCCCCACCCCCAGCTCACCACATGTCCGCCTCCAGACCCAGGGGTTCGTAGTTGACGATCTCAGGAGCTTTGAAGACAGGGGGACAGAAGGTGCAGGATCAGGAGCTGGCTAAGTCTCAGGCCACACTGGGGGACTAGCCCAGGGGAAGCAACGCAGCACCTCGCAGGGGGACTGCCTGGTCACCTGAGGTGCACACGCACACAAGCACGGCTCTGGGGTAGGACGGGATGGTGACGCACCAGCCGAGGCACTGAGCATCCCTGTGCCTGAAGCCGGGGCACCTGAGGGCAGCAGGCCGGGCATCCGGGGGCCGGGCTCGACTCGCCCCACAGCACCGGAGTCCTCGAGTGCCTGTCCCCAAGCCCCGGCCCCGACACAACGTGCAGGGCCTTACCTACAAACTCCGGGGTGCCGAAGATGTTCTTGAACTCGTCCCCGGCTTCGATCTTGTGGGCGATGCCGAAGTCAATGAGCTTGATGCGCGGGCTGGGCACGCCCTTGTCCAGGAGCATGATGTTTTCTGGCTGTGGCGGGGAGAGCAGGCAATGACGAGGGGTCTGCTGCTCCTGCTGCCTGACAGCGCCCCAATTTCCCAGGCCGGCCCGCTCCCAACCCACAGGGCGAGCAGGCTGACGTCACCCTGCGTGTCCAGGGCTGAGCCAGCCGGTCCCCTCAACCCCCGGAGCGTTGACGAGCATGGGGGGGCGCACGGTCTATGCCCACGAGACTCAGATCCTCTCTCCGGCCCCATCCTCACCCGCACTGGCCAGGCTCAGGTGCCCACCTCGTCCCCGGCTCCATCCCCTCCATCCCAAGGTCCCCGGCGGGGCTCACCTTGAGGTCAAAGTGGGCAATGCGCTTGGAGTGCAGGTAGTGGACGCCGTCCAGGATCTGCTTGAGGAACTGGGTGGCCTCATCCTCTGTCAGTGACTCCTTTTCCGCCAGAAAGTCGAAGAGCTCCCCGCCGGAGACCAGCTCCAGGATGAGTACCACGTCGGTCTTGTTCTCGAAGATGTCGTGCAGCGTGATGATGTTGGGGTGCCGGATCTCCCGCAGGATGTTCACCTCCCGCTCGATCTCCTCCCGGCTGACGCCCCGCCGGCTGGACGACAGGCGGCGCTTCTTGATGAACTTGGCCGCGTACTCCTTCCCCGTGCCCTTCTGCCGGCATTTCCGCACGATCGCAAACTGGCCACTGTGGGGGCAGACGGGGAGAGGGCACTGAGAGGGACCCGGGCTGGCCCCCGCCCTCCTGGGCAGCTCCTGGCGCCACACAGGTGCACCGTCCCTGCCAGCTCCGCGGTATGCCCAGAGGGTGAGCTGCCACGTGAGTGCGGAGCAGGGTGGGACACAACAGCCACCCGGCATCTCTGCTCCGGTGACAGGCGAGAACAGCTCAATGCAGAGAGCGGGAGTTCAGCACGGTACCAAGTCCAGCCGCCGTGGAAAAGAACAGACGCGAGATTTCCACGAAGACCCCTCAGTGAAAAAGCAAGCGCGGAACGGCACACGGAAGGAGATCCTTGTTTCAAAAAGGGATGTGCTGTCCCCACGCGCACACACGTTCCCTCACGTGCGTATACACAGCTCTGACGGGCACACGCCAACCGGCTAACAGCCGTCTCTGAGGGGTGGGACTGGGATGATGTGGGCAAAAAGAGGGGTTCTTATTTCAGTCAGCTCAGAAGCTGACTGAAAAGGCCAGACAGTAAATATTTTAAGCTGTGTGGGCCACGTGGTCTGTCTGGGGCAAAAAAAGGGGTTCTTATTTTTTATTTGAAACAATTCTATCCTGATTCGACTTTTCACTGTTTTTTTTTTTTTTTAATCTAAGAAAAACAAATAAAGCCACTGACTTCAAAAGAGCTTCTTATCAATAGGTGGAGTGAAGGAAATGCAAACATTTTCAAAACGGGAGACAGGGGTGAGGATGCGGAGACCTCGGAACCTTCACACACGGCCGATGGCAAAGCAGCAGCCCTGTGGGAAGCGGGCTGGCGGTTCCCCAAGCGGCCAGCGCAGTGACCGCAGAGTGACCAGGGGACCGCGGATTGCCCAGGGGACTGCGGCTCCCCTGCCAGGTGCAGGCTGGGAGAACTGAGACGTGCCCGCGTGGAAATCTTTCCGCCAGGCAGAAACGACCCGAGCGTCTGTCCATCGGCACAGGAACACGTGCACGAGACGTGGCCCATCCATGCAGGGGGGCGGTATGGGGAGGTGCTGACACTCACTACAACGTGGGTGGGCCTGCAATCGTGACGCTCAGTGAGAGATGGGCACAAGAGGCCACGCAGTGTGCGGTTCCATTTACGTGACACGTCCAGAACAGACACGGCCACAGAGACAGAGGGTGGGTTCGTGGCTGTCAGGGGCTGGGGGGACTAGGGAGTGACTGCTAAGGGGGACGGAACTTCTTCTGGGGTGACAAAATGTTCTGGAAATAGATAATGATGATGGTTGCAGAACCCTATGAATATACTAAAGATCACAAAATTGTACACTTTAACTGCACGAACTGTATGATACATAAATTATATCTCAAGATAGCTGTTATTTAAGAGAAATCCTATGTACTGCAGTCCAGGGAGCTGTCCAACATCCAAACACCTTTGCTGTCTGGGAACTCAGCTACATGAACTTGCTTTAACTCAGAAGCTGACTGAAAAGGCCAGACAGAAAATATTTTAAGCTGTGTGGGCCACGTGGTCTGTCACAGTTCTTGTGTGGAGGGCCGCGCCACACTGGGCTGGACGTGGCCCATGGCCGTAGTTCCCTGACCCCTGAGGCACGGGGTTGTTATATGGACCTACGCCTATGTCCGGACAGGAAACTTTAGCGAGGTCCTGCCAGGGGTCAAAAAAACCGACATCACGGGGAAACGGGGGAAGAGCATGTCGAGGAGGGAATGGCAGAGACAGGCCATGGGCCAGGAGGGGGATCGCTGACGTCGCTGGTGGCAAAAGGAAGGCAGGCCAGGCAGAACGAGACAGACAAGTGAGGGGCGTCTCTGCCAAGCCGGAGGGGCTTTCGGGAAAGCCAGGGGACCTGACTGGGTTTGTCTGAGGAGGCAGACCTACCTGTGGTGCCCGAGACCACCTGCAGCTGGCAAGCCACTGCCCTCATCAGCGTCAGGGAACGGAAGCGCCCAGAGCAAGCATCACAGACATGCTCTACGCACGCGTGGGTGGTCAGAGATGGGTGAAGTTCAAAGTGGGCAGGTGGAGAATGGGGAATTATCACTAACCACGGTAAGCTAAATAAAGGCCCCTCCGAAGACATCCAAGTCCAAATCCCCAGGACCTGTGATCCTAGATTGCCCGGGGGACCCAGTGTCCTCATAGGGTCCTCATAATAGGGAGGCAGGAGGGACAGAGTCAGAGGCACATGGGCGAGGCTGTGCTGCTGGCGGTGATGGTGGAAGACGTGCCTGGGACGTGGCACCTCTAGAAGCTGGAAAAGGCCAAAAACGACTCTCCCTGGAGCCTTCAGAAGGAACCAGCCCTGCAGATCAATTTGGACTTCTGATTCTCAGACCTTTAAGACAATTAATGTGTCCTTCTAAGCCACTAAATTGTGGTAATTTGTTACAGCGGCAACAGGAAACTCAAACACTAACTAAAAGCCAAGGGCACAGGTCAGATGAGACAGGCAAAGCATCCCTGATTAGGTCTCACCCACGTGAAATGCCCTTCCCCCTCCTCTCTGCCCACCTCCCATCCCACAGCTACTCCCTGACAATGACAGCAAAGGCCAAATGTTCACCATGTGCCAGGAATGCTATGCTAAGCACTGGACGTGTTGTGTAATTTTCAAATACAAGGATATTTTCCCTTCATCTTTATTCCAAGCTGAACTAATGAATAAAGACAACTAAGTCGAGCTCACGGGAACAGGTAAAAAGATGCTGTAGAGGCTAACTTGTGTTCTCCCCAAAATCCATGTGCTGAAGCCCTAATACCCAGGACCTATCTGGAGGTGGGTCTTTAGAGAGATAATTAAGGTAAACTGAGGTTACTGGGCCGGGCCCTAATCCAATACCGCTAGTGTGCTTATAAGCAGATCAGGACAGACACACACAGAGGGAAGAGTGTGTGAGGGCACAGGGAGGCGACAGCCGTCCACGACGCAAGACAGGCCTCAGGGGGAACCAATCCCGCCAACACCTTGATCTCAGACTTCCGGACGCCAGAACCGGGAGAGAATAATAGACCTCTGTTGTTTCAGCCACCAGCCCTGTGGCACTTTGCAGTGGCAGCCTGAGCTCATACAGACGCACATGCCTGTCAGTGACGTGGAAGCCAGGGTGAACGGTCCACACACTCGTCCACCCACAAATTATTTCTCGAGACTGTCAATGTGAATCTGAACTGTGAGGGAGAACCGCCTAACACACACTCACACACACACGCACTCACACACTACACGCACACATGAAACTCACTCCTGTTCATTCAGCCACACTCACACACACACACACTCACACGCACACATGAAACTCACTCCTGTTCATTCAGCCCATGACTCCTAGGACAGGAAAACATGGGCCTGGCTTTACTCGAGGTCCCTGTCACCACAGCAACTCCCCACAGCTAATTCCCCGAACACTGTCATAACCAGACTCAGGAAAGACAGTTATGCTTAAAACTGGATTCCAGTCAGATCTTGCCTGTGAAACGGTGCGTATCACGGTGGCCAGCTTCAGAGGCCCAGAGTGGACGTGGGAAAGAGGAGCGTGTGTGGGGCACAAGGGTGCGCCCACTTCCTGACACGCGGGGGCTGATGTTTGCACGGCCAGCTACTGGGCCCCTAACCGGGACGCGGAGGCAGAGCTGGCTGCCGGGCGGGGGGAAGCCGGATGCCCACTTCTGATTTTGGAGCCAGTCGGGTTTGGTCCCAAGACCTGAATCCTGCTTGGTCACTTACAGTCTGTGTGGCCTTCGGAAAGCCACTTCCTTTCTCTCAGCCTCTTTCTTTATCTAAAATAGGGATAATAATGACACCTGTCTATAGACCCTGCAGTAGATGAATGGAAGATAAAGACGGCCTAGAACTTAGATGTCCAAATGACATCCACGATGCATACAAATTCCAACCCAGCAGGCACAGCATCCTGTGCCATTAATCCTTCACTTCACACATCTGAGAATGTTCTGGACCACACAGCTCAGTGCTGTCCAAGGTAGCGGCCACTGGCTACAAGGCAAACTGTAAAGCCCGTCCAAATTGAGATGTGCTGTGGGCATACAATACACACCAGATTTTAAAGGCTTCATATCAAAAAAGGTGGTAACATATTTTGCTAATAATTTTTACAGTGATTACAAGCAAAATGATAATAGTTTGATCAGGTTAAATAAAACATATCACTAAAATTATTACAATTGACACAGCTCTCAAATTTCCAATTAGATTCCAATAAATTTCTTCTGTGGCTCACATCACACAAGTGGCCTGGCTCTTTTAGCAGCTGCATAATGCACCAGCCACGGACATAGGGCGCTGTGACGGCCACCGCAGATGCTTCCATCTTTTGCTCATCTAACATGTTCACAGCGACTGCCCCTGTTCCTATGTCACTGGGTCCACAGATGCATGTGTTCCCACTGAATTAATTCCTAGCGGTGGAAGCGGTGGGTTAAAGTGATGACGTCTGCTGGTTTTTGCCAAACGACCCTCAGCAGATCCTAACACATTTCAACAATAAAGTACGAGAGTGCAGGGCGCGGGAGGCTGCACTCACCAGCACTGTAAACAGAGGAAATTCCTCAAGGAGAGACTTCAGAATCCCAAAAGAGCCTGAACTCTCTCTCAGCAAGGCCTGATGCAGGGCTCAGTTATTTACATTCCCTTCTGGTGACATCATGGGGCCCGGCCAGCAGCAAACTCACCAAATAAGGTTTGAGGCTCCGCAAAAAAAAAAAAAAAAAAAAAAAAAAAAAAAAAAAGAAAAGATGGTGCCTGGCTGGTCTGGGGGGGGGGGGAAGAAAAAAAGAAAGAAAAGAAAAGAAAAGATGGTGCCTGGCTGGTCTGGGGTGGTGGAGGAGCGAGCTCCCCAGGGAGGCTCCAAGGCCTAGCCAGGCCGGAAATCAGCTGCCAGGCTGGCACGGGACTCCACCCCTCCCCCCCGCAGGGGTGCTACATAACTGGCAGGGTATGGGCCCAGACAGAGGCCACTCTTGGGAACGTCGGGAGCTGGGGAGACAAAGTGCTTCCCATAACAGAAGATTACAGAGGGGGGCAGACCTTCACCAGCAAAACCCGCGAACACCCTCTGCTCTGGCGCCACATACAGGCACTGGTACCGTGTGCACTCGACTATGTCTGTCCCAAAGGAAAGGCACAGAGGATGTCACAGCAAGAACTCCTCGCCCGGGTACCTGTTTCCAAAGCCCAAACTCACCCCTCCAGCACATGCCCTTGACTCACTCCTTCTTAGGGAGTAGAATAAAGGACAGGAGGGGGAGATCCTGTCCAGAAAACCCCACACTGCCTCTCTCCCGCCCCAGAGCTCGGTCGGAGGGGACCACCCACCTGCCCAGCTCCTCCCCCATCTCGTAGTAGTCTTCCACAGCTTCCTGCCGGAATGTGGACATGGTGGCTGGTCTTCCTTCCAGCACTTTCCGCTCCAGTGAAAGCCCAGTCACTGCAGCCGGGAGACAGGACCTTGGGAAGTCCCCGAGCCGTGACCCTAGAGGAGACAGGGAAATAGGGAAGAAGGAGTAAGATACCAGCCATTGACCCTAGTAAACGGAGCAATCTGCTCACCAAAAATAGGTTTCACCTGACTCCACCGCCTGGGACAGGCACTTGCATTTGGCAGGCCAGGTACTTTCGTGTGTCATCTCGCTTAGTCATCAAACCGCTGTTAGCCCCACTGTGCCACCTTGCCCCCATGACTCCCACCGGGCACATACCTCTGGGTCTTCACACACTGCCCCAGCCTTTCTCTGCCTCTCTCTCCTAGGATTTTCCCAACTGCTCATCCAGAGCCCCCACACATTCCTGCAGGTTCCCCCACACTCTTCACACCCCCAAACCCCAAAACTCCCTCACTCCCTGCTCGACTTCCTAGTTCTAGTCCCAACACACTCCCATCTCCCTGCCCATCGGCAACCTCTACTCCTCTTGGTCTTTACCTACGGTCTCCACATACCGGCCCCGCCCCCACATATCAGCCTCCCCACTGGTGTGCTCCCCGCAATCCCGAATTCCCCAGGAACCGGACAATGGCTTCCAAGCTCCTGCCAGCCCCCTACACCTCCTTGCCTACCCTTGATCTCCACGAGCCTAGCTAGACGAACGTCCTTCTCCTCGCTCCTCAGATAGCCCTGCAGATGTTAAAGGCCACCTCCCCGGGCTCCCCCTCCACAAACGGGCCCTGCGAAGGGCCACCCCTAAGTCTCCTCCATTGTCCTTCGGCCCCAACTTTCGCACAAGCTCCAAGGCAGACTCGGAGAGCCCCTTTCATAGACTCCTCCGAGGGTCCCCAACCCGTAACGTCCCTGCTCACGCATCCCGGAGGCGCCACCACGCCCCTCACAGGCCCCGGCCAAGACCGGCTCGGTCATCCCAGGAGACCCCAAACGTCCTCTCAGGACTCCCAAGAGTTCCCCCCCGACACACGCACACCCCCCAGCCTCAAATAGAATCTGCTCCTCACCCTACTCAGCCTGGTGTCCCGGGTCGGCCCCTTCGCCGCGCTGGCCTCCGCGACGCTCTGAACTGTACGACGTCATCGCGTCCGCCAGTGCCCGCCTCTGGACGGCGGAATCCACCGCCCATTGGTCACTGTGCCCGCCGCTCGTGACGCCCCGCCCCCGCCGGGGTTGGCCCGCCGCACCCGGATGCCGCATCGCCATTGGTCAACAGGTTAGCCGTTTATGCAACTGATTGGCTGTAACGGACGCCGATAAAGTTTACGCAAGTAAAAGGTCGACTTCCGGTCCCTAGGTCGCCCCGCCCGCTCTCCTCTGACCTGGGTCCTGAAGGTAGGAGAAGGATGCTGAATAAGTCCTGCATTCCTCGTCCTGCTTGTCTGGGGCACAAGATAGGCGAATCCAAGGCCCAGTTCCGGCATGGCAGCTCCTGGGGTGGACCTCAGGCTGCTTTAGTCCCTGACTAGCAGTAAAATGCTACCCGCTTCCCAAAAACATAAATAAAAATGCATATGAGGTTAGCCAGGTGTTGCCTTTCCCGCTTGAGGATCCTTCTGAGATTCCTGTTTGTCTCAAGGTAGTTGATTAAAAAAAAATTTTTTTACTGAGCCTTAGTATGTACCAATCAGCAACCTTAGGATATAAAATATATTAATATTTCCCCCGTTCTACAAATGAAAAAACCGAGACACAGCTTAAGTAACTCACCCAAAATCTCATAGCCAATAAGTGGCACAGTTGAGATTCATTCCCAGATAGGCCTGAACCCAAAGCCAATGCTAAACCACCTCAGATGCTATCCAACACGAGATCCCATGTCTCTTGGCCTTTGCTAACTGCCCTATCATCTTGTCATTCTCTCCTTGTTCGTTCCTGTCCAACCCCATTTACCTTCCCTCTGACTTCAAACATTTCATTCCTACCCCGGGGTCTTGGCACGGACTGTTTCTGCTGCTTGAAGATTGCCGTCCTCCACTCTCGTCTGACAATTACGGACACTTCGGTTTACAGCAGCACCTTCTTCCATACCCAGTTACATCTCATTGTTACATCTATTAGTACAGTTTATTCAGACTCCTTGTTTTCCTTGTCTTTTTTCTGTACCAAGATCCCATCCAAGATGCCACATGACATTTAGTCATCACATCCCCTTAGGCTCCTCTCAGCTATTAGTTTTCGCACTTTCTTGTTTTTAGTGACTGACAGTTTTGAGGACTGGTCAGGTATTTTGTAGAATTTCCCTCAGTTGGGGCATCTGATGTTTTCCTCATCGTTAGACTGGGGTGTTGGGTAAAGTAGTCAAGTGCCATTTTCATCACATCATATCCAGGGTCCATGCTATCGACATGACTTATCACTCGCTGTTGATGTTGACCTTGGTCACTCAGATCAAGGTGTTGTCAGGTTTGTCCACTTTAAAGTTACCCGCTTTTCCTCCCTTTCCACATTGTATTCTTTATAAGTTTCGCAGTGTATTCTAATGCACAGCCCACACAATAAGGAGCTAGAACATCATTTTTACTTGAAAAAAACTGACAAACTATAGTAATTCTGACTTGTATATTTGGCGAGCATTTTCTCAAATATGAACAAATTCAAACCGTCACTTCGAGGATAACAATTGACAGTCATGGTTGCCAATGGCAATCATTTGAGCTTTCAAGCAAAAATTAAAAATTTCAAAACCTGCTTGACAGTTTCCCAATATACCAACACTTTCCTGGCGAAATTAATAGACAAATGTGATTTTTGAGTGTTTAATGAAATGTGTCATCTCAGAGCTGCAAACTTGGTTTATCAATATTTCCAAATAACCAACGCTTGATGTCACAGAATCATGCATAGGGAGAAGACTCAAAGTGCCAGACAGACCATTGTTTTTTTTTTTTT